CTCACTTCCAATCTCAACTAATATTGATGTCCCAGGACCTGCAGAAAGGTGCTGGAGATCCAGTCATGGGGTTTTCCTGGTAGAAGGCATGTTGTTTATTCATGCTGAGTCAGGTCCTAGCCAGCAGCATCCGGCCCTGGGCTGTGGTAACAGCAATAATAGCTGCCTCACCAAGCGGTATTGAGAGTGGCACTGGTGAATGCCCACATTTCTCTGCAGAATTCTTCCAGGGTGTAATCTAGACTGCCACTGGCCAATGCTGTAGCCATTGGCCACATTTAGCTAGTGAGCATTCAAAATGTAGTGAGTCAGAGAGGATATACTGTAACATTAAAGGACACACCAGATATGGAACATGAAATATCTCTACACTTTCATGTTGGTTACATGTATGGTAATGTTTTTATATAATGTTAAATAATGCATCATTAATTTTCTTTTACTTTTTTAAATAGAGCTATAGAAAATTTCAAGTTACTTGCACAGCTCACATTATGTTTCTGCTAGAGACTTCTGTTCTCCATTATGTCTCCACATCCGTCTTGACCTTGTCTCAGGAGGCTTGGGTCCTGGCACTTCAAAATCAGTTCATGGCAAGTTCACTGTCCTTCCAGTGGTCAGTTTCCACTCATAGCTGGCCAGCAGCATTTCATACAATTGTCATTTTTATTATCATTTCATTTTTTACTTTCTTTCTTCTCTTGACTCAGAGGATATGAGGTTTTCTGATTTTCCTCCTCCTTTACCAACCAGTTCTTCCCTCAGGTCACCTTTCTGGAATCTACCTCAACTTCTCGACTTATTCAAACTCATCTCTTGGTAGAACTCATCATGACTCTCCAGTGACTTTAAACACCATCTATGAGGCTTTGGCACTCTGAGTCTGCCACAGAGACTACTGAGTACCTGTACCTTAACTGCCTGCACTACATCACCAAGTCTATGTATAGCAAGCAGGGCAAGTGAAGGAGACTTCCTCCACAGTCTAATCCCATTCATTAGTGTGGAACTGATTTCTCAGTTCTCCTTCCCCCGTCCTCAACCTCCTCTGCGTTTCCTAGAGTGGCAAAAGGCAACTTCCTTTACACAGCTACTTAAACCACAGTCTGTGGAATCAGTCTTGACTTTTCTCTTCCCCACACCCCCACATCCAACCCATTAGCATTCTTTTCAGTCTGTCTTCACATTGTATTTTTAATCTGACCTCTTTCTTCTACCACCCACCTCCTGGAAGACCCATTATCCGAGTGGACCATTTTGTGTCTCATCCCAAGCTCCCTGCCTGCATCCCTGTTCCTCTACAGCACCCAAAATAAACCTTGAAAACTTTCAACTCACTGTTTTTCTCAAAATGTTCCATAGGAATATTACCTTCCTACTTTAATACAAAGGCACAAAAGGTTTGCCCCTCCTACTGACATCCCACATTGATTCCCATACTTGCTCTCTGGTCCCTTCCTCTGTTTTCCTGTCCATTTCCTCCACCCTGTGTCCTCAGGACCTTAGATCTCTTCACCATAGGCATGTAGAGAGCTTGCCTTTCATTCTAGTTTCTATGTGAAGCCCTCTTTGCTACTTGTACACTGCTCTGACCGTACACTGCTCTGACCACCGTATCCAGAATAACACCCATGGCTTTTATGTTCACTTCTGGTCACAGCATCCCTCCTGACACCTTACGTTTCTCTGTAACACCTTTAAAAAATGAAAGGTTTATTTTGACTCACAGTTTCAGAAGTTTAAGTCCATGATTATTTGGCTCAATTATTTCTGGGCCTGAGATGAGGCAGAACGTTGTGGCAAGGAAGATTCTTCAAGAACATGCCCTCAGTGACCTACTTCCTCCCCCTAGTCCCCATCTGCCCTTAAGCTATGAACGGATCTGTAGTTTAATCCATTGAGGAAGTTAGAGCCCCCCCATCTGCACACAGCTCTACTAGGGACCAAGCTTTTCAGATCTAAACCAGGACGTGCTTTGATTGCTTCAACCTTAAAGCATTTACTGGTATCAGCCTATGTCTGTGGGCATTCTTTGTAGATAAAACATTTTAAATATAAAATCCTCAGTTATTTTCAATTTCAATAAGTACTAGGGTGAGGATTAACAAGTAGCCAGGAGTACAGTATGGCAGGAAGTGATATTTACATACTTTCTTACTTGGCCTAGGCTTCCAGCTAGTAGCCAGTCATTTATGAAGGTTCCAGGAGGTCCTCTAAATCATCCAGTGCTTAAAATGCTGGACCCTCCATAGGGTGTTTACTGTGGACTTTGAATGGTGGGCTGGCAGCATCTTTGAATGTGTTGGGTTTGTCTGTATTTCATGCAGAAGATGATAGCATCATTATTCACCTATAATCTAAAGGTAGTGGAACCCTGAGTGTATGTATAACCTCACCATTCGCTGTATATTTGCACCTTGAAGTTTTCCCTCAGTTGGGGGTTGGGGGGGGCTGGGGAGATAGCTCAGTGGAATAAGTGTTTGCCTGGCAAGCGCAAGGTCCTGAGTTTGATCCCTGGAAAAAAAATTTTGCCTCAGGATAAGTTACAGATTTCATTTTGATGCCCAGTGTGAGACTCATTAATAATCAGGACAAAGACTTTTAGGAAATCCTATTCCCAGGTGATGACTGCTTCCCTAGGAATATTTGAGGAAGTGGGCCCAAAGGCTGTGATTTAGTGACAAAGGGAATAAAGTGACCTTAGAAAATGCAAGAATCAGAGACTTCTAATGAGACCTGACAGTTCAAGGCCTAAAGAAGGAGGCTAATCTTTTTTTTCCTGCCCACCCAGTCTTCATACAAATGTAAATATGCCTCCTTCAACAAATTGCCAAATGTGGTTTTAATTTGTAAGCAAGAAACCCCCGCCTTATCCTTTCTTCACCCCCTTCCCCCTTGGCTTTTCTTTTCTTGAAATCTAAGTCACAGGTTTTGCACTTCTTGAACTGGACATTTCCTCCGGCCACCATGTAGCCTTTTCTGTTGTCCCTTTTCTTTATGGCCTTTCCCCATTGTTGTCAGAGGAATTTAGGATGAGAGCTGACTGCTTTGTTTCTTAAGGAACTTTTTGAAGTTCCCAGAGGAAATACACATTGCTCTTTAGACTGAATTTTAAAAATAAGTAAAGGCAGTGACTAAATCCAATCTGAGATTTGAAGAGAGTGTCACTATCACAGCATCCTATTTCATGTGGTATAGGCCGCATCCATTGTTGTTATTTATGACCCTGTCTGCCTTCCATTGTGGACTTATTCCAGCCTTGGGGAATTTACATCATTCCTAATAGCAAAAGGCTTTCTGGTTCCCACAGAGTTGTTCAAAGCCTGACTCATACTCCTTATGTTAATTGTTCAGCTCTGAAAATACAGCACTTACAGGGTGTGGTTGTAAGGGGAAATCTACTGTACTTATAGGGCATGTTTAGAAGTGTTTCACACATAAATCTCCATTGCTCCCTCTCT